AAGAGCTATTAATCTCTGGCCGAATGCTCGACTGAAAGCAGTCTCTCCTCCTGCTTTTCAATCCGTGGGTCGAACGCGGAAACAGCGGGAGCACGAAACGAGCGGCTTTGCCGCTCGATTATCGCGCTCGCTATTTTCGCGTTCATCCTACACTGATCTTATGGGTTTTCGAGCGAAAGAGAGCCTGTTCGCAATCTAGCATACATTGCTATCTTATGACATTTCCTGTAGATTACGATAAGTTTACAATTCTAAGTAAAGTGCGAAACGGGCGGAACTAATTTACAATGAGGATATACAGAAGAGCAACTATTACGCATAAACCTACTTATAGTCTTTGGGGGTATTTCTCTTCTGTGACAGTTAAAAATCCCAACTGGCAGGAGGCAGACCAGTTGCCTATATACAAAGCGTGACCGAGGATTTCAACTCGGGACTACAGACAAACAAATACCGCTAGTGGCAGAGTGGAGGCCTTGAACTCGGGACCTCCGGACTACAACACCAGGGGCCCGTTTCTCGAAGGTTCCCAAAAGTTTTCGCACCCGGAAAGCCGTACTGAAAGTCAGTCTCAAACCTATGATAACAGAGCTGTTTCATTTACATATTCTTAATATGACCAGAAGTTCCCTTCATACAAGAAGTTTCAGGCGTACACACCTTTCTGTTTCTAGATACAGATTAACTAAAAACTGGGCTCCTGCTAAAAAATGGCTTTGCGGGCCCGAAAAGTTTCCGGGGCGTTCGAGAATCAGGCCCCAGCCGCCCTAAACCACTCGGCCACGCTGCCTCCCACAAAGGGCAGGCGGCGTGGTCAAGTTGTTAGGACTTTTAAGAGGAAGGGCACCCTCGTGATGTTACGTACGTGTAGATGATCGTGAACAAGGGCAGTTATTAAATTGAAACAAACTTGTAATAGAAGCTCATGCGGGGGAATATCATGAAAAAAAGTATTCATTTTTTAATTCGTTTGCATTTGAAAAGGCTCCCTGCATTAGCCTCAGTTGCAAGCTAGTTCCAGTCCAATACCGAGAATATCTGGGCGTATTTTAAACGTCCGAGTTAAACTATAAGTCCTTCACTTTTTTCCCTTTGGATAGCTGAAAACACCAAATAACAGAGAAGTCCTGTTTTCTTAAAATATTAGGCGGAAACGGGAATTGAAGAAAACAGCTACTGTGTCGTTTCTTTACGAATCGGGGGGCACTAATCTTTGCGATTGCAAAAGACTGGTTTTTCTAGATGGATAATAATTTTGCGATTTTCGGGAAGTCGCGTTTTATTGAAATTACAACATTTTCGCATTTTTAAATTAAACTGCATACAATTTACAAGTGAGATGTAAAACACAGTAATCCAGTGCGGAATTGTAGATGCTCTTCTCAATGGAGTAGCTTCAGACGATCCTTCCCTGAAAACCTTTTTTATTTCTGAACGTTTTGTTTGTCTTGTCATCGTTTTATTTCTGAACGAAAGGCTTTCAATATTTATTATTTCGCCAGTGGAGCAAATTTTTGCGGTAATTATTTTTTGCGGGAACTTTTTTTGCGGATCATGAAAAAACCCCGCAAAAATCGCAAAAAATTATAGAACCCGCAAAAATTTAGTGCCACACGGTAAAATAAACCAATCAGAATGATGAAGTGGTGGGTTTTTACTGCTTTCGTTTAATTTTACAAACACATTTGGACTAGGGGCTTAATTACTCTTCGGGGCTGTTTCTTTTACTGTATTTAGAAGTGCAGAAAGATGTACAGATTTACATGCATCAGTGGAGCCGTGTCCGATCTCGAGTGTTCTTTACTTCTGCCTGATAAGGGTCTTGAACAGGAAGCAACTGCGGTGGGTAAAATCACTTTTCACTTAAATGGCTTGAACCTTCATTTCCAACCACGTCAATCACAATAATCTACACCAAGTATGAAATTCAGTCATAGCTCAAGCCTTTCCTTGGTTAGTCCATTTTGGCCGATTGTAGAAACAAAATATCACTAAAACATATCTGGCACGTTCAAAAACAGAGCTTCCAGAAATTGTCACCTGCTCTTCTGATTGGCCTGGAAAAGCAGTCATTTTGATGTCTGTCTTGTCATTGGACGGAAAAAAAAAACTTTGAACCACACACACAAAAAAAACAAAACAAAAAACAACAACAAAAACCAAACCAAACCAAACCAAACCAAAAAAAACAAAACAAAACAAAACAAAACAAAACCAAACAAAACAAAACCAAACAAAACAAAACACCAAATGAAAAGCCAACTGTTTTACATGCTATCCCCTAACTGACCCTAAGACTGTCTTCCAGAATACGACTGTGCCTCCACTTTCACAATACATCCTAAAAGTTCAGTGAGAAGCTTCTCTGTGAATCCTACAAGGAAATAAAACTTTTTTACATCCCCATATATTGACACAAGAAACACAAGAATGATATTGTTAGCTCTGCGCTTGATGACCACTTCAGATTCCACAAACTCGTGCATAACTCCTTCCACAAACTTGCGTATCATTATATCATCCAGTAGTCTCTCCGATGCCCACAGGCTTCCCTTTAAACTTCCTACAACAGACATCACAATGTCAATTTATTTTATTACAATTTAAAGCTGAACACACATACACGTACACAGTAAATTAAAAAGCCACAAGAACATTGTATGATTTGTAACGGAGTCATAATAGAGAAAAGAAAACAGTTGAATATTGCAGCTCCATAAGCAAGACACCCCAGTAGTACACACATTAGTTTGTTGCCAAATATGTTCCTCCTTGGGCCAGTTCTGACATCAAATTATTCATGAGCAAAATCTAACAAAAATAACATGTTCTGGATTTCCCACCCACTTTCCTTTTCCTTTAAAAATGCCCATCATTCTCAACGTCTTCAATTTACTAAGATGGCAAACAAATGCTAGTTGCAACAGGTCTTAAAAACTTAACACCTCAAAATGTTAGAAGCCCAAATAAAAGACATCTCAAAATAAGAGGTCATCAGAACACCAATATCATCTCCTAAGGTAATATTTCATGAAAAAAGCTCCAGAACTTTGTCAACTGTCTGACATGTGGCAGGCCATGACTGAGGCCCTGTTTACATGAGTCTGGACAAATTTTTGCAAGGACAAATACTTGCACGGATTACCATCCATTTACATGGGACTGGTGGAACTGGATGAATTTTTGAACGGCTAAGCATGCAAGTTTGGGACCTGAAAAAAGCAGGTCAACTTTTCAACCGGCATGGTTCCATATTTCGTACAGACTAGTGTAAACACCAGAACCATGCAACTTTTTGCTCAGATAGTGCGGTCGAGATCTGGAATCTAGTTATGTTTTGCCTGGTTAGCAAAAATGAAACATCTTGCTACATTTTGTCCCTGGTTTGTTACATTTTGTTAAATTTAAGACAAAAGAAACAAACAAAAGCAGATTACACCTATGAGGAGATGAGTGGTACGTCGGGGGAATTTCTCCTTGTCGTTATCAAGGTACTTTTCCAAAAACATTTTTGGTTACGTCTTCATACTTGCTCCTGATTGTTTCCCAATCAACTCCTTCCCCTGCTTTTCCTACTGTGTAGTCTATAACTACATGTAGCAACAAATTAATTTCTTCATCAGACCATGTAAAGTTTTTGACTACCACCATGTTTGATTTGCCGTGTACTGCATCAGCTGCAACATGATTGGCTTACATGTAAAACACTAGTGATAAACAATCACAACAGAGACATAAAAAAGCCATTCAAATGCCGCAAGTGGTCTAAAATTTGCACGGATCCATGTAAACACCACTGTAATCTGTAACAGAATTTGCACGGATCCACGTAAACAGGCGGTCCAGGAACAAAATTCGTCCATACAAAAATTTGTCTGGACCTGTGTAAACAGGGCCTGAACTTTTAGGTAAATAACCATGACCATTGTATAGTGAGGCAGCTACTGTACACCTGTATATAATAACTATTTATTACCCAACTAAGTTACTTTAGAGGGCCAATAACTAAAATTAACCAATCAGATTGCTCCATTGTCGGTACTAGACTGTAATATTGGACCAGGCACTGTTCCAAATGATCCCACATGATCACTCTTGAAGATTTACTGTAGTTTTATGGCTTATGTTTCTGAAAGCAATTGCTGTGACATAAAAGATCCCTTTTCTTCTTCTTCCAACTCTCTTTCCCTTCTGTTTTGCTTCATATTAGATGTGAGTGTATGCTTAGTAGGCTCCAATCAGAACTGAGCGCTTGAAGTTAACAATGTTTTTCAAGTCCGTGATCGTAGCATTTTAGTTCTTAACATTTTCAGTCATGTAATAAATCTCTTATTAACCAAGCTAACTCGGGACCGTACTAAGAGAATATCGGCCCTCAGTCTTTTTTGTATGGACCTTGCCTTGCTTAGTTTGCACTGTCAAGACCTTGGAATGATATTCTCCCAGTAATGCCCTTGGATTTGGTAAACAAGGTATATATACAGGTAGAAATCATTCTTATCTGACAGAACCTGTGTGAAGTGAGTCTTGGCTTCTTGTGACTCCTATTCTGTAACTTGGTACTTCATTGCGTTTCTGTTGCTGTTTTTGTTTGGGTTGATATGCATATCTGACTCCAAGGATCCCCGAGACAGCTGGTGCCACACCAAACGCAGGGAAACATGCCACACTGCGACAAGTTCCTAGATTTCCACTTCGATATACATTATTAAGGCCCTGTGAAAAAAGTCATGCGTAAACCACAATCATTTCAAAACTTCTCTTTCATATTCTCTTACAATTGGTAATAAGGCTCCATCGTGTGGTTTCACAAAAAAATTAAAAAACTATCCAAACCGGCCCATCCCAACAGGGGTTATTTGAGATTCTAAGGCAGAGGTTGATCCCAAAAGCCAAAAGTTTTAAAGGAAAGTATGAGGCAATAAGAGGCTGGGACTAGTGGATTGTTCAATCAGACTAGTAGACTCTGTCATTTACTTGCAATTGCCCAATGGGCAAGCGAATTTTCCTGGGAAAAATCGTAAGGAAATTCAAATATTTACAGAAGTACTCTAAGAGATAAATTTTTTGGGGAGCTAGTGAGAATGACTTTTGGGCTAGTACATCATAGTTACAGCTTGTCCGAAGAAGAAGCTGGAAAATTGGTCGTCTTGGACTCTGGAGGGGGCGGGGGTTGGGGTCAGGTCGATGGGATGAGTGTGAGTGTTCCACATTCTGTTAATTTTTGTCCTTCTTGCTGTCAATTTTAATCTATCAAAACTTGAAAATTTTCTTATTTGATATCCCCTGATATCTGTTCTAAAATAGCCCATAACCCATTAATTTTACCCCCAAATATTCTGCATCCCAAAAACCTTTAACAGGGCCTTGGCAATGCTTTCGGGCTAAATAGAATCTTGAAGTATACGTTTTGTCTAGTTTTCAGCCGTTTTGACAGTACAACATAAGGCAATTATGAACTAAACTGGCCGAAAACTTGGCAAGAAACTGCGAGCCACATGCTAAATAACTTCAAATAAATAAAGATAAAATCGCTCAATGTTATTTCACTAAACTGATATAAGCCTACCTGAATGCCAGCTTGTTTTAAGAAGTTTCTGCAGCCATTCGCAGCCATTTCAATGCGATTTTATGCAAAAATATGAAGTTAAAAACTTAGAAACATCAAGCAACAGTCGTCCGCCATATTTGGTTTACTCCCACAATGCATCACATTCGGTTCCAGTCTTCAGTGCTGATAATGATGATGTCAGTCGTAAACAAGATGGCGGTCACCAAATTTATACGTGGATAGCGTTTTTCGTAGTTCCTTCTCAGTTTCCTTGGAAATTGCTCAAGATCATAACTTAGATAAAATGTAGGCTCTCTAATGACAACAGACTGCGGCTATGAGTTGGTTTGATCCGTCGAGCTTCTCATCTTTCGCTAAAACAGCTTTGAGTCAAGCACAAAATCTCCAAAAATCCATCGACAAGGTTTTGGATATCCAGGAAAAACCTAGTGGAACTGCGTCTAATTCTTCAGGTAAGCGCATCTTTCTCTGCCTGTGTTTATCATTTTTATGTCATGTTTGATGCCTGAATCTGTGATATATCCAAGTCTAGCACGAGGAGAGTTAAGATTGAGGAGTGCTGTGCAAGCTAAAGAAATTTTAGATATGAATATTAGAATTAAGCTTAGTTAATGTAACATTCACAATCGAAAGTTTTGCTTGGAATAATAATTAACAGTTGAGTTTACCTGTGTTGTGAATCAGTTTTTGGTGGATTTTATTTACTTGATCATCATTAAAAATGTTTTTTTTTGTGACATACAGGTGTACAGTCAAGGTACAATAGGTACAATAGGTACAATAGTAAACTAGAAAGAAAAACTGATTACTGCACCTTTAGAGTTCATGTTTTATGGAAAGGCACAGTAATTAATGCATGTAGTTTTTCAATACAGTGAGGACAGTGACATATACCTGTCTGATAGTTATTACCATTTGGCTTATGAGTTCTATGTATTATAACAGCTCACTTTCTTAACACAGGTGTCCTAAGCTTACGAGAAAAACAAACAAAAAAAATAACTACCTATGTACGTATTTATTCATGAAAGGGTTACTCACACATTGTCTTAGTCTGAATGTGACTTTCCAGATGACACGGTCTTAGATTACGTGAGGAACCATTGAGGATTTGAGCACTTTGTAAGAAGTTGTTATGGGAAGGAAATATTGTCTATTCAGAATGCTAAACACTCCAAGATATGAACATTTTACATGCACGTTTAATCCTTGTGTATGCCTTGTTATGACAAGCCAAGCATGACAAAAGTGGGTTGAGTTTAAAATCATCTATCGAGTTTCAGTGATTGATATGTGAGATTGGGATGTGATATAAATTTGGGAATCAGTATGTGAGATTGGGAAATCACTGTATGAGAAATGGAAATCACTAGAGTCTAGATTGAAGCTCTAAGATTGTTACACCTTGGTAAATGTCTCATTTCCAAAAATCCCTACACATTACACAAACAATATAATTATGCTGAAAAGAGCATTTTCTTCGGTCAATTCCAAGATTCCTTCTTTCTGCAGCAGCCTCTGATCTTAAGAATGGGCATGGCTGTGGAAAAGGCTTGGGTCCAGGATCAACTTTGGTGACCAAGGGAGGATTTCATTCCCCATACAACTTCTTAATGTAGTGCTCAAATTCTTAGTGGTTCCTTGTGTAACCTAGGTCTGGGAATGCTTTATGCAACAATTATGTTGCAGTTAAAAATATTCAGTAGGTAATTTTTTTTTAACTAGGTAAATTTATTATTTAACTAGGTATTTTTTTTTTTTAACCAGGAGGAGAAAAATCTCATTTCCTACTCTTCTCTTCATCTCTCCCTGCTCCCACCTACTTCTTCTTCTCTTTCACTATCTCCCTATTCT